CTGCGGCGAGAAGAAGGGAGCGTACTGACAGCGGTTGCCAAGTTCGTGGCGAGCAAAGGCAGGAAGCATGAGTCTACAGCGGCAGGCTCAAACAGGGGGTCTTCAGGTCAGCGAGTCGGAAGGTGCCGCCTGCGACGTCACATGACGCTGAAGCAGTAGTCGATGAGCAGGGAAGTTGAACAGCATTCTTGGCTGTCCGCCACAAGGCACTATAAGCATTTAGAAGCACACTCTATTGTCCGAATAATCCCGTCTAGTATTAACGACTATAGCGCAGGATTACCAGGTGGAGTTAGTTGTCGGGTGCTATAACCGTTGTTAAGATACTAAATAATTCCATAACTTAACATTTTAATAATTCTATCTGTTAATGTTCAATCCTTTAATGGTATATTAATGTAATTCCTAGTTAATTAATAATAAGGATTGTCGATGGGTTACGGGTTTTGGAAATTCGCAACACTGTGGTCCTTAGCCCGATATTTTAAGATACGATTTCTTTGGCACACTTTTTTTCAAATTGTGCATAGTATACTCGAACGCCATGATTCGTGGTAACGACTTTCTTTATTTCTATTTATTGATTCTCCGATTCATTTATATTTTTCCAATGTTCAAAATTATATGTTACCACCGTTACTACCACGTTGGATCTTCTTACCACGTCAGCGTTTCCAGCCTTTGACATCGAACCGCTACGGCCCTCGTGTCATGACCCGCGTAAGACGAGGAAAAAGGGGGCCGTTTAAGCAATGAAATAATTAATTTAAAAAATTAGTTCTCGGAACAAAATGACTTCCGGACGCATGACACATATCCGACACTGGGCGTAATAAACGTCCAAATGACGTTAGTTAGAACATGCCCGTGTGAGCCTTCAATTTGGTCAGCCAGATTTTATGGCTGTTATTTATTTGGCCTCATGCACTGTCGCTTCCAGGAATTAGCACGACGCGTCAAGAGCATCATGCACAACCTCAAAATACCATTCGGACAAAAATTCAATATCGCATCAGAGGCCAGGAATGGAAACATTTCGCCGACTGACACGTGGATTAAATAATTCTGGCGTTGGCTTAAGCCATAAGGAGACCTCTAGGTACTGCGACCTTCAGATCCGGTTCCGAATACAAAGATGAGAAGTTGGATGCCAGTCGCCAGATTTCTGTATTCTGTACAGAAAGACTAGAGCAAGTCGAACTACGGACGAGAAAACAACTTCGGCGCCAAAAAAACCGACATACCGAGTCCCACACAGATAAATTCAGAATTGCTTTGAGCGAGGGCATGCCTGAGTCAGCCCTAGTGTTGATTAGTCAGTTTGCCTCTCTGCGATTGGCCAAGATGCACACCGTTACTTCGCGCGTGCAGCTACGCAAGAGATGCAGCATTTCAGCGGAGGGCCACTATATTGTTTTTTTCTCCTACACTCTAACGTCGTTTGAAATGCGGTCTACTCATGACGTTCCGTGATGTCTGCCCGTGGATACATTTGCTTTAAATTGAAAATAAGCTCTAACTTTCCGACGTAACCCACTCATGCAACCATTCATGCATGTGTGAACGCGGACGTGTGCGCTTTCAATATAAAACGCGTTCATATTGTCCACGAGTATTCTAATGACAGAAATGTTCTCTAAAGTAATATTGATCCTATTTTAAAAGCGAATAGCAGTGCCATTTTTATATCCTGATTACCGTCAGCCTGTTATGCAAATCGATTTTTAATTTACACACAGGAGGCCATCGTCAGAGAAAATCAAGCACTGGCATGTTTTCGTAGTCCAGTTACGAGTAAACAGGGGCGGGAGAGGGCGTAGTTGGACAACAAAAACATCTCAATGCCTTCTACCCCTTCATCCTCTCAGACGATGGCGTGTTTTGCGAAACCGAAAGCTCAGATTAATACAATTACTGTTCCAGTGATCGCGCCTTCGTCTTCATTACAAATTTAAGAATCACAATTAACATTTCTTGGGATGGTTTAACTACTGTACGTGTTTACATCCGTGGCCTGGTTATCAAGTCATACATCAGGGGAAGACAAAAGAAAAACTCCCATTTGTGGGGGTTAGGTGTACTGACCAGTATACGATCTACCAAATGGACGCTCCCTAGGATTCCGGTAATCATTGGTGACCAATAGTATGCTAATGTATTAAGGAAATCAACGTTCAGCAAACATCTTGCATGTTCAGAAAGACTTCATTCAAATCGTACCTTCAAAAAATCGACAAGTTAAAGTAGAAGCAAAGGCCAGAATACTCATACAGTATTGGGGAACAATGAGTGGCAGTAACGG